TCGCGCAGCTGCGCCGCGTCCGTCGTCGCCGCGGCGAGCTCGAAGGCGACGGCCGCGGCGCCCGTCGCGAGGCGGCGGCGGGCGCTCCCGTAGGCCGTCGCGGCGGGCGCCGACGCGGCCGCGTACCCGAAGAAGTCGACGGTCGCGAGGAGAGCGTCGGAGAACGCGGCGCCGCTCTCCGCCTCGCCGTTGAAGCTCGCGGCGTCGACGTCGTTCAAGACCACGGACGCGGCGAAGACGGCGTCGACGGGCGGCGCCGGCGTCGGCGCGTAGGTCGGCGCGTCGTCCGCGGCGACGGCCGTGCCCCCGGGCGACGGCGCCTCCGACGACGGCGCCGCCGACGGCTCGGGCGCCTCCGACGACGGCGCGGCGGACGGCGCGTAGGTCGTCGGCGCGGGCGCCGGGGCCGGGGACGGGGCCGCGGTCGCCGTCGGGCACGACGACGGGTCGAGCGCGGCCGACGGCGCGTAGGTCGTCGGCGCCGCGGAGGGGCTCCGCGACGGCCGCGGCGACGGCCGCCGCGTCGAGGGCTCCGCGGACGGCGCCGCCGAGGGCGCGTAGGTCGTCGCGGCGCGCGTCGGCGGCGACGACGGCGCGGCGGTCGTCGGGGCCAGGGTCGGCGGCGGCGACGGCGTCGACGTCGTCGGCGCGAGGGTCGGCGGCGGCGACGGCGCGGCCGTCGTCGGGGCCGGGGTCGGCGCGTCGGACGTCGGCGCGCGCGCGGGCGCGCGCGAGGGCGCGCCCGTCGACGGCGCGAGGGTCGGCGTCGACGTCGTCGGCGGCCGCGTGGGCGCCGCGGACGGCGCCGGCGCGGCCGACGGCGCGTAGGTCGGGCGCGCGGTCGCCTCGGCCGTCGGCGCCGCGGACGGCGGCGGCGGCGCGGACGGCGCGTAGGCCGGCGGCGCGGGCGCGGGCGGCGCCGTCGGCGGCGCGCTCGGGTGCGCCGACGGCGGCCGCGGCGCGCGGCTCGGCGCGTAGCTCGGCGCGGCGCTCGCGTCCGCGAGCGCCGTCGGCGGCGCCGTCGGCGCGGCGCTCGGCGCGGGCGCCGTCGGCGCGGCGCTCGGCGCAGACGTCACGGCCGCGGCGGCGCTCGGCGGCCGCGTCGGCGGCGCGGACGGTTTCGCGGCGAACGGCGTCGGCGGCGCGGACGTCGGCGGCCGCGACGCCGTCGGCGCGGCCGTCGGCGCGAAGGCGACGGCGACGTCGTCGACGGCCATGTCGCCGGTCATGCCGTCGCCCGTCGTCGCGCGGATGCGCAGCCGGAGCGCGGATTCGACGACGACGGCCTCGGCGCGCCGCCAGCCGTCGCCCTGGTCTCCCGAGAGCTCCCAGAGGCCGCAGTCCCAGGAGTCGCCGAACCAGCCGTAGTCGCGCAGCGCGTCGACGGCGAGCGACCCCGTCGTCGCGCCGTACATGCTGTAGGCGAAGGACACGGCGACGTCGGCCGCCGCGAACTCCGGCGACAAAAGCTCGAAGACGACGGCCGGGTGGTTCGGGTAGGAGCTCTCGACGAAGGCGTAGCTCCCGGCGCCCGACGCGTCGCCGGACGGGCCCGTGTTCCGCGTCGTCGTGGACCCGCTCGCCCGCGCCCAGGCCGCGGAGGCGCCGTCGACGGCGGCGCCGGCGTCCCAGCCGCACCAGCCGCCGTCGAAGCCGCAGCTGACGTTCGACGCGGTCGTGACGACCGTCGGCGCCGCCGTCGGGACGGCGCTCGGGCACGTCGTCGCCCGGGCCGCGGCGAGCGGTAGGAGCCAAACGCGCATTATCGAAATGCTCGGGCTGCCGTGCTCATCGTGATTTTTGATCGGCCGTCGTAAACTTGCTTCTTCAATAATTGCTTCTTGAAAGGCTGAGATGATGCAGTGGTAAATTGCAAAGCATGGAGCTGAGCGCGCTCGTGCTTCTGACATGCATCGTCCAGACGCGATCCCTCCAGCCGCTCGGGTCCGCGAAAGAGCCCGCGCGCCGGCGCGAGACGGCCGCCGTGCTCGGCTGCGATCATAAGCTCGGCGCCGTCGCCTACGGCTACCTCCAGCGGCTCGGCGCCGTCCACGAGTCGGGCCTGCGCGAACCCGTCGCGCTCCTGAAAGGCAACATGCAACGGCGAAAGCTCTCGTCCGTGCTCTCGTCCGCGTTCCTCGGCGCGCTGAACCCGCGGCGCGCCGTCGACGTCGGCAGCGGCGCGGCGCTCGCGAGGGCCGTCTCGGACTTCGACGTCACGCGCTGCGTCGCCGGCGAGGCCGTGGCGGGATCGACGGCGCTGCTCAACGCCTGCTGCGCGTCCGGCGGCTGGGTCGGCGCCGTCGCGGTCGGCGACGAGGCCGCGGCGGCCGCGCGCGCAATGCTCGAGGACCGCTGCGGCGGGAGCCTCGTCGTCGCCGTGGAGCAAGAGTTGGAGGACTGCGGCACGTTCTGGAACTTCCACCGGGGCTGCGGGCCCCTCGACGGCCGACGGCCGCGCGTCGAGGACGCCGCGGCCGCGCTCTGCGCGGGCGCGCTCGCGCTCCCGGCGGACGAGCACGTCTACGTCGCGCCCGGCGGGGCCGACGGCGCGGCCTGGGAGTCGCCGCTCGAGGCCATGGACTGGATCCTCGAGGCGTCCGCGGTGCGCGCGCCGCCGTCCTGGGACGTCGACGCGGCGGACGCGCGCGCGGTCGACGCGACGGGGAAGCCGTGGAGCCGGTGGTAAGCTCCGAGGTCGCTACGGCGCGCGATCCCCCAGGGCGCGCGGGCCGGCCATGCCGCGCCGCTCGCTACTCGTGGTCTCCGAGGTCGTTACGGCACACGACCCCCACCAGAGCGCGCGCGGGCCGGCCCCGCCCGCGCGCTCACTTGCGCGCGCGGAGCGTGGACCAGTCGCGGTCGCTGCGGGGCTCGGGCGCGGCCGCGTGGACGCGCTCGCGCGGGGGCCCGCGGGGCGGCCCGCGGTTGCCCTTGTCGCGGTCGCCGCGCGCGTCGCCCTGGCGGTTCCAGCCGCCGCCGCCGCCCTGGCGGTGGAACTGGTGCCGCTTGTACTCCAGGGTGATGAAGTTGGGCAAATCGAGCGCGGATTTGATGACGTCGCGGATCTTGTTCGTCGCGTCCTTGTCCTCGGCGTCCGAGTTCCAGACGGCGATGATGTCCTCGTGCTGGCGCACGGACACGACGACGCCGCAGACGTGGACGCCGACGTCGCCGAACTGCTCGCCGATTAGAGCGAGGAGAAGCTCCTCGAAGTAGAGGCTCGCGAGGTTCTCGACCTTGCGGAGGCGGATGATCCACTTGCCGCCGCGCTTGTTGTGCGGGTCCTCCCAGGTCGGCGTGATGCCCTCGCGGAAGAGGTGGTAGTCCGTCACGTGCGAGTCGTTGCCCAGGTCCGCCGGCTTGACGAGGTGGTCGTAGATGCCGAAGAAGCCCTGGACGGAGTCGAAGGCGCCGATCTTGTTGATGCTGCTCGCGTAGCCCTGCGAGTCCTTGCCGCCCTCGCTCCGGTCGCGGCGCATGAAGAAGAAGGCGAAGCGGTTGTCCAGGAAGGTCGTCATGTTTTTTTTTGGTGGCGGGGCCGGTTTTCGCGCGGTTTTTTTGTGGCGTAGGTCGTGCACCGGCGGCGGCGGACGCGGCGACAAGCGCGGATGATGGGGGGGCGGTGCGGCTGTGCGCGCGGCGGTCGCGGATGCGCGCTCCGGAGCGAGTCGGCGCTCGCGAGCAAGTTAATGCCTAGTAGGGTTTTGTAAAATACGACTTTATTTCAGGATCGACGAGCTAGCGGCACCGCTCCGCCGAGCGCAGGGGTCGATCCGGGGACGTAAGGTCGTTCTGGGCCGCGCCCGCGCGTCGCGACCATGCTCGGAGTCTTTGCGCAGCTCGCGCACCGCTCGGCGGGGTCTGGCGGCGCGCGCCGATTGACACCACGTCGCGTAGCTCGTCGATCCTGAAAATAAAGTCGTGTTTTAGAAAACCCTTGCAAGCATGAAAGTCGGGCGCGGCGGATTGTTGCCGGCAACGAGCAGCGCTCTCAGCCGCATCAGAGAGCTTCGGCCGCCTCTCACGCCGTCAAACGCGTCCAACCGCGCGCCGTGCAGCGCGCGCAGCTGCGCAACGTGCTGTGCGAATCGACGACGGCGCGCACCAGAACCGCGGCCACCACCGTGGCGTTCCTCGAGCTGCTGCTCGCCGTGGCAGCCATGGGCGGCTGGATCAGCAAGCAGGTGCGCTACGCGCCGCACACGGCGCGGCGCTGGGCCGCGAACCTCAACGGGCTGTCGCCGGAGGAGGCCTACGCGCCGCTGCGGCGGACACCGGAGCTCTTCGAGTCGCTGCTGCGCGACGAGTGGTTGGCGCCGACGCTCCTCGACGTCGTGCAGGCCGCGCGGCGCGGCCAGTGCCACAGGGATCTGCGCGAAGAGGCGCCGGGCGTCTTCTCCTTCGCCATGTTCAGCGACGCGTTCTGCCGCGACTTTCTGCAGGAGGTCGACGGCTACATGGACTCGGGGCTGCCCATCCGGCGGCCCAACAGCATGAACAACTACGGGTTGATCGTCAACGAGATCGGCATGTTGGACGTCATCAGCGAGCTCCAGCGGGAGGTGCTCTGGCCCATCGCGCGGTCCCTCTGGCCCAAGGAAGGCAGCGCGTTCCACGCGCACCACTCCTTCATGGTGCAGTACCGCAAAACGGAGGACCCCGGGCTCGACATGCACACGGACGACAGCGACGTCACCTTCAACGTCTGCCTCGGCGAAGTCTTCGCCGGCGCGGGGCTTACTTTTTGCGGCGGCGTCGGGACCCCGGACCACCGCCAGCGCGCGCCGGCGTCCGTCGAGATCGTAGATGCGCCGGGAAACCCGTCACAGGTTCGCGTTCCAGTACGAGCACGTCAAGGGCCGCGCGGTCGTGCACCTCGGGTCCAAGCGGCACGGGGCCGACGACATCTCGAGCGGCACGCGGCGCAACCTCATCATCTGGAACCACAACCGGAACTGGCGCGCGTCGGCCGAGTACGAGACGCGCATGCAGCGCTACCGCCGCGAGTCCGCCGCGCCGGACGCGCGCTGCCTCTCCTACACGCACGACCGCGACTTCGCCGAGTTCAAGCCCTACCCGCCGGGCAAGGAGGAGTTCGCGGAGCGCGCCTGGTGCCCGCCGCAGCGCGCGTGCTACGACCGGATGAAGTAAACAGCGGGTGCTTTGTTAAAGTTCGGAGTCGTGCGATTCGCCGAAATGCGGGACGCGAACGAGCCGGGGCATCTTAGTTTAGGCGCGCTTGCTCTTGGCGTAGTAGGCCGCGGCGCCGCCCGTGAGCGCGGCGCAGATGGCGGCGAACTCGATGACGAGGTTGCCGAGGAGCCAGTAGTCCATGCCGCCGACGCCCTTCGGCGGCTGCGGCTCCCCGCTCGGCGGCGCGACGCCCGCGATGCAGATGCCCGCGATGAAGTCCCAGCAGCCGAAGAAGAGAAACCCCATCACGAGCGCGTAGACCTGGGGCCCGGTCCGCGTCGCCGCGAGCCAGCAGTACCAGGGCGCCACGAGGCCGACGATGCCGTCGCCCGTGAGCGGCACGAGCCAGGGGAAGGGGAACGACGGCTCGCCGGACCCGCCCATGTTCGGGTAGAGCGCGAAGCCGACCAGGCGGTACGTCTGCCAGCCGAGGACGACGACGACGAACTTGACCGCCGCGGGCTTGGGGCCGGCGGCCCGGGACGCCGTCGACGTGAGCGCGAAGGCGACCGGCGGTAGGAACGCCATGAGGCCGAAGACGGCGCCGAGCAGCTTGACGTAGTCGTCGCCGACGTGCTTGACGATCGGCAGCGGGAAGGTCTCGTAGAGATCGGTGGAGGCCATCGTTGTCGGTCGCGGCCGTCGACGCGCGCGCTGCTGTTTCTGTGGCAATTGTTCTGTGGACACTGTTCGAGCCGGCTGCCGAGTCCGAAGTGGGCTGCCGAACGGGCCCCTGCGCGACGGTCCGGCCCCGGGACGGGGGGCGGGGACGGCGGGCACGGGGGTTCCGGCACGGTAAATGCGCTCAGGGCACGCGGCCCGGCACGGGCCCGGCACGCGGCACGGCACTCGGCACGGGCCCCGGGCACGGGCCGGGCACGGGCCGGGGAGGCCCGGCACGGGCCCGGCACGGGGCCCCGGGCACGGCCCGGGCACGGGCCGGGGACGTGGCCGGGGACCGCGGCACGCACCGTCGCGCAGGGGCCCCTTGCCGACGCGGACACGCGGACAAAATGTGGGCAAGAAAGGGTCGGAGCGCGTCGTCGCGGTCGCAGAGGTCGCGAGCGCGTTCCTCGGCGCGGCGGCCCGAGGAGCCGCGGAGTCGTAGTGCTATTTACAGGCATGTGCACGCAAAAAGGGCGGGGCAAAGGGGGGAACGCCGCGGCGTCGTGGTGCGGCGGCGGGCGGGGTTCGACTAGGCGCCGCGGGGTCGCGGGCGGCGTGTATGTCCAGCGGCCGGCGCCCTAGGCGGCGATGGGGTAGGAGGCGAAGTTGGCGACGCCGCAGGCGTTGACGCCGCGCTCGAGGCGCATGTAGCCGGACTCGCCCCAGGTCGTGCCCCACGAGTTGCGGATCCACCAGTAGTCGACGCCGTCGTCCGTGCCGTAGCCGACGATGGCGACGCCGTGGTCCGCGTGGGTCGGGTCCGAGGAGCAGCCGAGGATGGACCGGGGCTTGAGGATGCCCCCGGAATAGAGCTGCCACTGCTTGGAAGCGTCGAGCGCGATGGACACGGGCCCCGCGTTCGCGAGCGCGTCCGCGAGCGCGACCTCGTCGCCGACGGCGACGTCGGTCCAGTTCGAGATCGTCGCGCCGACGTTGGCCTTGTCGAAGGCGCAGGTGCCGTCCTTGCCCGTGTAGCCGTAGGAGGCCTCCGTGTCGATGCCGCCGTCCTGGTTCTTGATGATGTAGTCGAACGCGTTGTCCATGAGCCCGCCGGAGCAGCCCATGCAGCACTCGTCGCCGCCGTCGATCTGGTCCTTCTTCACGCAGTCCACGAGGTTCTGCTCGGAAAGCGTCACGAGCTTGCCCGTCTTCCGGGCCGCCGCGCCCTCGATGGACACCACGGTGGAGAACGTCCAGCAGGAGCCGCAGGAGCCCTGGTTCTTGATGTCGGCGACGACGCCCTCCGTGCGCCAGTCGACGGCCGTCGGCGCGGCCTTGTCGGAGACCTCGTGCGTCGCGCCGGCCTGCGACGGCTTCGGGCGGCTGTGGAGCTTCTGGTACGACGCGAACTCCTCGGCCGTCCAGTCCGCGAACTGGTTGTCGAGGCCCAGGGCGAAGCCCTCGGCCTTGGCGTCGTGCTCGAGGACGATCTTCGCGTTCTGGGCGAAGACCGTGAGCCGGTGGGCCCATTCCTCGACGGTCTCGTACGTCTTCTCGAATTTGGTCATGAAGGTCATGAAGGCCTCGTGGACGGCCTCGACGTCGGTCTCGCCGGCGGCGCGGCAGGGGTGCGTGCGCACGCAGTCCTCGGCCGTGGACACGGAGCAGCAGGCCGGGGACGGGTTCCAGATGCCGTGGCCGTCGGCGCCGAGCATGTGCTGCTGCTGCGCGGAAACGCCGGGGAGGAGCGCGAGGGCGAGGGCGAGCTTCATGGTTCTGGTTTAAAACCTAGGGAGACCGGAGGTGAATGGGGGGCGCGGGGCGGGCGTGGGTTTGTGGCGCGGGGCAGGGGACGTGAGGTGGCGCGGAGGCGCGGGGCGGGCGTGGGTTTGTGGCGCGGGGAAGGGGACGTGAGGTGGCGCGGAAGGTTTGAGTTTTGGGGGCGTTCCGAGGCGGGCCGGGGGCGCGCCGGGGCGCGGGGCGGGGCGCGCGCGGGGTCGGGGCGGGGGCGGGCGGGGCGTCGGGCCCCGAGGCGGGCGGGGCGGCGCGCACGACTCACGAGTCGATCCGGAACACGGCGGCGTGCGGGTGCTCGAGCCGACCAACCAAAACACAGCGGCAATTCCGCTGCAGCACCTCCGTCCTTGAACCCCAAAAAGTACGTACTCGTGACGTAAAAGCGCGGATGTAGCATGGCGCTTGACACGAAGGCGGTTCGCGGCGCGTGGAACCGTGACAACGAAACAACACAGCACCAACTCCGTTGGACGCCGACACCAAACGCCGCCGCGGCGATGCGGTGGCTCCTTCCCACACTAATAACGCTCCCGTTGGTCCAAGGCGTCTGGGACACAACACCAACCGAGGCGCGGGGCGGCTGCCCGTCGGTCTACGTCTACGACCTGCCGCAGCTCTGGGACGTGCGCGTGCCCCTCGACGAGCTGCGCAACGTGAGCGGCAAGTTCGTCTTCGGCCGCCCCTGCGACGGCGGCATCCCCGAGGAGTTCGACACCGATCAGTGCGAAATCCCCGAACAATTTCGACGACCAATCGTGTCTTCCCCCCCAGGTACGCCATGCCGCTCATCGTACTCTGGCGCCTGCTGCGGTCGCGGCGCTGCCCGCGCGCGTTGAATCCGGAAACCGCGGACCTGTTTTTGGTGCCGACGTGGCCGGGCCGGTCGAAGCAGCCCTGGCACCCGGTCTGCAGCCAGCGGGCCAACGCCGAGGCCATGGAAACCCTCGCGCACCTCAGTGCGACGACGGCCCACCGCCACTTCTTCCTCGTCGGCAAGGGCCACGTGAAGCCCAACAAGTGGTGCGACGCGTGGTGGCGGGCCCCGGCGGGCCTGCTGCGGCGCGCGATGCGCTTCGCCTACTCGAGCGGCTACGCCATGGTGCCGGGCAAGAACCGCACGGGCTACGGGCCGAAGCGCCTCGACGACGACGCCGTCGCGGCGGCGATGGCCGCCGACGCCGCGAGCGACGACGGCGACTACCCCCACCTCCACAGCGTGCCCTACGCGTCGTCCATCCACGGCACGCACCGCCGCGGCGCGCGGCCCTGGGACCGCGCCGACGGCGCGCCGTCGCGGTTCTTAGCGGCCTACGTGGGCACGCCCCACGCGGACATGCCCTTCGCCGCGGCGCGCGCGCGGCTCGCCGCAGAGTGCGCCGCGGACGGCGCCTGCGGCGGCATGGACGTCCGCGCGGCCAAGGAGACGGTCAGGGCGGCGCCGCGCCACTTCTGCGGCCTCAACGCGTCGACGCGCGCGGCGACGTTTTGTTTGGAGCCCGGCGGCGACAGCCCCTACCGCAAGGGCTTCTACGACGCCATGCTCACGGGCTGCGTCCCCGTCGTCTTCGGCCTCTACAACGCGCGCGTCGCGCCCTGGTTCGTGCCCCGGAACGCGCTCGTCGTCGTCAACGAGACCGCGTACCTCGGCGGCGCGTTCAACGTGCTCGACCTGCTCCGCGCCGTGCCGCCCGCGCGCGTCGCCGCCATGCGCGCGGCGCTCCGCGACGGGGCCCACAGGCTCCAGTACGCCGCCGCGGACGCGCCCGGCGACGCGTTCGAGACGCTCCTCCGCGGCGCGTTCGACGCGGCCAAAAAGCGGCACCGGGACCTCGGCCTCCCCCTCGTCTGACCTTGTTTCTGTGTGGATCACCTTAGACGACGGGGATGCCGCTCATCTGCACCTCCGTCGCCGCGCCCTCGTCGACGGCGGGGGCCGCGTGGCCGCAGAAGGGGAGCGCGAGGAGGTACTTGACGTAGAGGCGCCAGACGTCGCCGAGGGTGATCTCCGCCGGGTCGCTGGATTTGCTCGCGGAGCAGGCGAAGAGCCAGGCGACGGCGCCGCAGAGGAGGAACGGCGGCGCGGCCAGCGCCGCGCAGCCCGCGTCGCATCCCGCCGCGGCGTTCGGGTGGTCCCCGACGTCGGCCCTGGACACGCCGAGCGCGCCGACGCAGGTCGGGTAGGCCGGCTGGTCTTCCGGGATGTCGGCCCACGCCTCGAAGGCGTCGTGCGCCGAGAAGACGGCGTCGTCGCGGGGCGGGATGACGACCCTGAGCTCCTCGGGCACGGGATCCGGCACGATGGCGGGGATGCCGCGGCCGTCGGGCGCCTTGGCGACGAGCGTCGCGCCGGCGGGCGTGCCCGGCGGCACGGGGATCACGACCGACGCCTGCAACTCGAGCTCGACCATGATCCGATCGCAGCTGGCGGCGCAGAAGCGAGTCGGGGCAGCGACGGAACGTAAACCGCACCACGGACTGTAAAAGGCACCTTTACCGGGGCTGCGTGGCGTATGCGGCCCGACCTCCATCGACGATGGAGGACGGACTGTAAAAGGCAGCTCTACCGGGGACATCAATCGACGATGGAGGTGCCCTGGGCCGTGCTCGCCGTCGCGCTGGGCTGCGGCGTCGTCGCCTTCTTCTTCCAGCTCTGGCTCGAGAGCGCCCTCGAGCGCCTCACGGAGGCCCAGCGGACGCGCGTGCGGTCCCTCGCGGCGACGACCTTCATCTTCGCCGTCGTCGCCGTGCGCATCTACCGCGACTACGCGCTCGCGCACGCGCACCGCGGCCACAACGTCGACGACGACGCCTGCTGCGACGACGACGGCGACGGCTACGCGCGCTACCGCCGCTACAACCTCTCGGACGCGCGGAAGCGCGGCATCAAGGACGACTTCATGGCGCGGTCCTGGATGCTGCGGCACAACAAGCCCATGCGCGGCGACGACTGGGTCATCGAGAACTGCACCTACGGCAACTCCGTGCGGCGCGGCGCGTACCGATCGTTCGCGGCCGCGGAGAGGCCCGCGCCCGCGCCCAAGAAGCGGCGAAAGCGCGTCGCCGCGCCGGTGATCAACTTCGTGCACGTCGGCAAGGCCGGCGGCGGCACGGTCGTGCGCTTCCTGGAGGACAACGGCCTGAGCTTCAACCACTTCCACGCGCGCGCGCGGCGCCGTCCGAAAAAACGCGCGCGACGCCGACGGCCCCGCAGGTGCCGGACCGGCCCGGCCCGTCGACGCCGGGCCACCACTACTTGATCACCGTGCGCGACCCCGTGGCGCGCACGATCAGCGCCTTCAACTGGCGCCACCCCTGCGGCGGCGGCGGCGGCCACAACCTCGGCGATCGCACGAAGCACTCCATGGACCGCTGGGAGCTCAAGTTCTACACGTGCTTCGAGACCGTCGACGCCTTCGCGGCGGCCCTGGATCCCGGCCGGAACGACACCTGCGGCGAGCTCGCGACGCAGGTCTTCGCGCCGGAGCGGCCGGGCCACATCTCCCACGGCCTCGCGTTCTACCCTGTGTGGAAATCAAATCTTCAACACGACTTCAATGTGCTCGTATGCGACCGTTTCGACGCAATCTCTTCGACTGTGCTTCGAGAACTCGACGAGAGCAATCGATTCGTCCAAAAATCAGCCGAATCGACTTCGATTTGACCGAGCTAGAGAACTTCAAAGTTTGGCCCCGACGTCCCAGCTCACTGGTTGATTTCCACACAGGTTCTACCTCGCGGACGTCGGCGCGGCGCTGCGGGACCTGGCGCGCACGTCTGTGTACCTCATCCGCCAGGAGAGCCTGCAGGCGGACGTCGACGGCGTCGCGGCCTGGCTGAAGGTCGACCCGGAACTGCTGAACACGACGCTGCCCCACGCGCACACGGGCTACCCCCGCGAGGGCGACGCGGCGCTGGCGCCGGCGCATCGCGCCTTCCTGGAGGCGTACCTCGACGACGAGGTCGCGTACCTCGCGGCGCTGGAGAACCACGCGGCCAACGGCCGGGGGCCCAAGGCCGTCAAGCGGCGCGCGGGCTTACCGGGGGGCGGGTAATCTACAACAGGTCGTCCTCGTCCATGGGCGAGTCGGGTAATCTACAGCAGGTCGTCCTCGTCCATGGGCGAGTCGGGCCGCGACTGGGGCGCCTCGGGCGCCTCGACCTCGAAGTCGCGCACGCCGGGCGACTCGGGCTCCTCGAGCTCGAGCTTGCTGTCGTCGAGGCGGCTGGCCTCGAGGCAGCCCGCCCACTCGGCCGCGGTCTCCGGGTGGAGCGCGGCGCCGACGTGCGCGGCGCGCCGCAGGTGGAGGCCCGCGCCGGCGTCGTCGCCCGACGCCGCGCAGCAGGCGCCGAGGTTCATGAGCGTCGCGAGGACCGTAAAGTGGTCCGGGCCGTGCCACTTCTCGAAGCCCGCGAGCGCGCGCGCCATGTGCCTCTGCGCCGCGGCGTGGTCGCCGAGCGCGGCGCAGGCGTTGCCCAGGTTCGCGAGCGTCGTCGCGATCTCCGGGTGGTCTTTGTCGTGTTCGAAGCGCGCGCGCTTGATGCGGAGCGCGTGCAGGAGCAGCGCCTTCTTCTGCTCGAATTCGCCGAGCGCGCCGCGCGCGTTGGCGAGGTTCGTCAGCGCGACGGCGAGCGCCAGGTCGTGGCCCCCGCCGTCGCCCCGGTCCGTCGCGTTCCAGTGGTCCGGGTCGCCGCAGGCGCCGAAGACGTCGACGGCCATCTCGAGCGCGGCCGCGGCCGCCGCGGCGTCGCCCCGCTGGAAGCAGGCGACGCCCAGCGCCGCCAGGGCGTGGGCGTGCTCGCGCCGGCCGGAGGGGCCCATGTCCCCCGGCAGCGCCTCGAAGACGGCGAGCGCCTCCTCCGCGAAGCGCTGGGCCATCGCCGGCGCGTCGAGGCGCCCCCACGCCTGGGCAGCACGAGCGTGATTCAACGTCGCTTCAACGTGAGTGTTCCGCGCGCGCGCGTCACGAGAAAAACATCCACGCGTCGAGACCGTTCCGAGAGATGATCGCTCGTCCAAAAATCAGCCGAAACGAGTGGAAACTGGCCGAGATCGGAGCCTTTGAAGTTGGGCATCTCGCTCTCTCGTGCCGCCCTGCCCCGCGCGCGCGCGAGGTCCCCGAGGGTCCCCGCGACCTCGAAGGGCTCGCGCCGCGCCTCGAAGATGGCGTGGGCCCGCTCCAGGCTCTCGACGGCGCCGCGGAAGTCGCCCGCGGCGTCGCGCGCGCGCGCGTCGTCGCGCAGCGCGGCCGCGAGGGGCAGCCCGTCCGGGCCCCCGGCCGCGCGGGCGGCGGCGAGCGCCGCGTCGCAGCTCAGGCGCATGACCCGGGCCGCGGCGACGCCCGCGGGCACCGGCGGGGGCGGCCGGTTCTCCGGCAGCGCCGCCGCGTAGGCGGCGGCGGCGTCCTCGAGGCCCAGGGTGTCCAGGTGGCGGCCCAGGTCCGGCGCCCAGGCGCGCACGACGTCCTCGAGGGGCGGCGGGGCGGCGGCGGCGAGCTCCGGCCGCCGATGCGCCATGGCACCGCTGCCCCGCGCCGACGAGGCAAGGGGCCAAGGCCGATCCAGGGAGTTCACAGTCGGAGTTCTCCGTCGGCGTCTGTCATCTCGCGAAGCAACGGAAGGGCATCCTGCAACAAGCGTGACGGGCAGGGCTCGATTGGCTCCAGGATTCGTTTCTGCCAGATGGCCTAATTTGAACGCGCGATCTCCCAACGAATGGCGGGCGGCGATTCTTGAACTCGACGGGTAAACGCCCAAAAACTGTCAAAGGTGAAAGGTGCGGAAGATGATGCCGCGCGGCGCGCGCGCGCGCCCCGCGCGCGAGCCGGCGCTCCGGCCGGCGGAGTTTCGGGCCCGGGCGACCGCGGCCCGCACATCCCCGGCCGGCCGCGCGCCCGCGGCCCGGCGGCCGGGCGGGGCGCCGGCGGGCGGCGCCTTAAGCGGCGCCGAGCCCCCCGGGCCGACGGTGAAGTGAGCGAAAGCTGAAGATATTGTGACATGTAGCCAAAACGAACCCAGCGCGGCGGCGGCCGTGGAGCGGGCCGTGGATAGCGGCGGAGGAAATCCTGCTTCTCTGGCATCGGTGGCCGGCGACCTCGCATCGGCGCATCCGCTGCCCGGCCGCGGCGCGACGCCCGAGTCGCGCTCCCGGCGCGCGCGCCTCGACCAAAAGGCTGCCCACCGCTGAGCCGCCCGGGAGGCGCGCTGAGCCCTCGGCGACGATGGGCGTCGAGTCCTGCGAGCCGGTGACGGTCCAGCTCGACGCGCTGCTGCGGGCGCTCCAGCCGTCGCGCCAGTCCGAGGAGCGGCGCGGCGCCGTCTTCGGCTTCGTCGACGAGGTCCTGCGGAAGCAGTTCGAGCGGACGACGGCGTCGGCCGTCGAGCCGTTCGCCACCGGGTCCTTCCTGAGCAAGACCTACCTCCCGGACAGCGACCTCGACCTCACGATCATCCACCCCGTCGGGTCGCCCGCCGACGGCTCGCGGAGCGCCGGCTGCTCCGACGACAGCTCGAGCCTCTCGAGTCGGACGAACTCCGTGTCGAGCGTCACGGACGACTTCCGGGAGGCGCGCGACGAGGAAGATAGTTGGGTCATGCTCGCCAACGAGGCGCTGTGCCGCAGCGCCCTCGCCAAGGGCCGCGCCTCCCCCGAGGCCATGGACATCCGCAACGTGACATTGGTGAACGCTAGGACGACGGTCGTGAACTGCCTCGTGCTCAACATCCCCGTGGACGTCACGGCGAACCACGTCGAGTCCGTCGCGGCGCAGCTGCTGCTCGAGGAGACGGACCGCGCCGTGGGGCAAGAACATCTTTTCAAGCGCACGGTGCTCTTGGTGAAGGCGTGGTGCCGCCACGAGAGCTGCCGCTACGGCGACGGCGTCACGGTGCTGAGCTCGCGCACGGGCCACCTGTCGACGCACGCCATCAACGTCATGGTCGCCTGCCTCTTCGTGGATAAGCACCTGGGCGACCTCGGCGCCATGCACCCCATCCACATGTTGGCGCGATTCCTCAACGTCTACGCGTCGCTCGACTGGACCAGGGAGAAGCTCACGCTCCTCGGCGACGACGACGACGTCGACGACGACACCGCCGCGGGCCGCCCCGTGCGCACGGCCGTCCGGGCGCTCTGCGCGACGCTCCAGTCGACGCTCCGCGAGGCCGCGCACCGCGCGGCGCCGCGCGAGTTCGAGGCGCGCTGCTGCAACGTCGAGGACCCCCTCGTGCCGACGAACAATTTGGGGTTGTGCGTCTCGGCCAAGGGCCTCCACCAGATCCGCAAGGCCTTCGCCGGGGGCTGGAAGCACCTCCAGGAGCTCATGGCCTGGGCCGCGGGCGACGGTGCGACGGACGCGCCCGTGCCCGGTGCCCCGCTGCCCGCGCCGACGCCGCCGGGCGTCGCGCCGCGGCCCGCGCCGCCGCCGGCGGCGCCGGCGGGCGACGGCGGCGCGTCGCCCTGGTTCGCGAACGAGTTCTTCAGCCAGACCATCGCCGCCTACGTCTTCGCGCGCGCGGACCTCATGAACCACCCCTGCCAGCGCTGGGGCGTCGCCCGGGCCTGCCCGCCGTCGCCGGCGAGCGCGACGGACTTGTTGAGCGGCGACCTCGAGTTCATGCGCGTCGCGCTCGCGCGCGCCGTCGACCTGGCCCGGGCCCACGACCGCCGGGGCGGCGACGCGTCGCCGCGGTCCGCGGGCCGCGCGCTGCCGCCGCCCCTGGGCATGCCGCCCAAGGGCCCCTTCGTCGGCCCGCGGTCGCGGCGCCGCGCGCCCTCGACGGCGTCGGCCGCCTCGTCCAAGACGGCCGGCGACGAGCCGCCGCCGCCGCACCGGCGCCGCCGCGCGAAGCGCGGGTCCGAGTCGTCGTCGTCGACGGCCGACGAGGCGACGGAGTCGCCGTCGGCGAGCCCGACGTCGAGCCGCGTCGGCTCCAAGGCGCCGTCCGTCGACGGCGAGACCGCGTCCGTCGCCGCCGCCGTCAACGAATCCGAGGCCGCGCCGCCGTCGAAGATGGTCGTCGTCGCCGACGACGACGACGACGACGAGCTCGCCCTCGCCGCGGCGCCCGACGAGCCCAAGGAGAAGAACTCGCCCGTGAGCGTCGGCGCGCCGGACCTGTTCCGCGACGCCGCGAAGACGCCGGAGCCCCGCGACGACCCGGCCGCGGCGCTGGCCCTCGACGCGCTCCTCGACGACGCCGTCGCCGAGGAGGTCTGGGCGTCGGCCCTCGAGACCTTTGTGAGCGCCCGGGACCAGTTCGACGCCGAGGAGAAGCACCGCTGCTCCCTCGGCGACGCGGCCGCGGCCGCGATGGCGCGCGTCCCGCCGGAGGCCGCGGCCGCGGAGTCGAGCTCCGGCGGCTTCGCGGGCCTCCTCGCCGAGGACGACGGCGACGCCCAGAGCGTGTCGACCAAGGGCGACACGTCCGCCGACGACGACGACGACGCCGCGGCCGCCGTCGACGCCGCGCCGCCGGCGCCGCCGGCGCCGGCGAAGAAGCCCGCGAGGACGCCGGCGGCGGCGAAGAAGGCCAAGGGCAAGAAGAAGGCGTCGCCGCCGCCGCCGGCCGCGAAGAAGGCGCCGCCGCCGCCGCCGCCGAAGAAGGAGGCCGCGCCGAAGGCCGCGCCGAAGGCCGCGGCGCCGCCGCCGGTCAAGGCGTCGCCGCCGCCGCCCGCGAAGAAGGTCGTCCACGTCGTGAGCCGCCACTCGAGCGCCATCCCGCGCAAGGTCGTCGACGAGTCCGACGCGGCCATCGTGCCCATGGCCCTGAGGCCCCTCGGCGGCCTCTTCTCGTCCGGCGGCGCCGCGGCGCGCGCGCCCGCGCGGAACTGCTCCTTCGCGGCCTGCCACACGTCGTCGGCGTCGTCGGCGGCGGACCCGACGGTCTTCGAGCGCGTGCCCACCGTCGCGCCCAAGGAGGTGCGCTCCGCGAGCCGCAAGGAGGTGAAAGCGACCGGCGCGGACGCCGCGAAGCCCATCGGCGACGAGTGGCTCCCCGAGCGGCTCC